GGGATTTTGAAAGTACGAACGAAGGAGTTTTGGAGCTATTTCAAGTTATGGGTGCCAAGTGCTTCTTAAACATTTGGAAAACATGCCTTTATGACTTATATGGTTTAAATTGACTTTATTTAAAGAGTCAAGTGTTTTATGGGGACTATCKGCTTGATTTTAACTCAAAAARGTTTTGGGRCATTTGTCCGGTTTTAATAGCTCAAAATAAATCATTGGACGTATAATCCATCTATTGCATATTTGTTGGATATTACATGTTTTGAGTGCGTTAATTATTCAATTGGTGCCATGTAATTTTACACTGTAATGCATTGGATCCATAAGAGTCTGTTTTACTGTTACCTATGGAATTTGGATGTCTACATTTAAGTCAGGTGAGTGGTCCCGAAGTCATGGTTTGAGAGCTTGCGATGGTAGCCTATTGGGACATATATGAAACTAGTAGCCTGCGGTGGTACTCTATTGAGTCGTTTAGGGGGMTAGGTCTTGTGGTAGTACTCGTTGGAACCGTATACAGAGAATGATGGTGAAACTCATCTAGAGGTCGAGTCTAGGGTCATTMTGGGTATCTTGTGGTAATACTCAATGGAGTCATATACAGGGATCCATGGCCTGMGGCGAAACTCGAGAATGTTGATAAGTGGCATACTTTGTGTTTCTGCCACATTTGATRGAATGGGGTCTATTCCGTCACTGAAAAGTGTTGTTTTCGAGTACTTYGTTACTTATGCTTTCGGTGTTATGAATATAGAGTTTTATCTATATATTATGTAACGCCCCAAAATTTCTACTTAAAAAAATGTGGTGCCGTTACTTTAAATTAAAACTATTAAGTCTTGAATATGAGCTTGAAAGTTAACTTTATTTATAACGTAGCTTATAATTACATCAAMGATGAAATACTAGTGGAAACGTATAACTTAATAGCTTAAAATACAATAKAACTTGCTATTGATTAGTAAAATACTACTCCATGCAAATCTTCTTCATTCCTTTCATGAGATACACATGAGATATATAAGCTCAAAAAGCTTAGTGAGTAGTTACAGTTTCATGAATATACAATTTTCATGATGCTTAACATTTTGTGAATAGTAATTCACTAAAACTCTTGATCATGCACACAAATTATCTTTTTATCATGCAAAAACATTCTTTTGAGATCTCACTTGAAACATGTAAGTATGTTGTACTTGTCTTGAGATTTGCAAACCCCTGGGTCCATAAAGGCTGCCTCATAAGGTACATTTGCAAGACGTCCCTTCTTGTAATATCTCATACGTTGGATATTTATGGTCATACATAACATGTAAAAACTTTCATTCCTTGTGTAACACATGCTTACATCATAACAGTTAAACACTTTCATACCTTGTTGTAAGACACATACTTGTATCAAAACATGTCATCATGCATATTTTGAATATATTTTCATGTAAAACAAAATGCCAGAATATCTTTTAATGCATAAAATACTTTTATGTAGCATGTATGTACCTCATAAATCTCATAAGTACTCACCTTGATTATGCCTCGTTTTTCCCTTAATTCCTTTCTTCAAGCTTGATTATGTATAAAGAGAGAGATTTCTTATTTTTGGTATGAAACTAATGGTACATTTCAACCACTATTTATAGGTGAATTCATTGCATCAATTACTTGTTCTTTTTGCTCTCAAACCTGTACTCTTATGAGAGTTTTACATCTCCTACTTGAGGATAAGAGAATCTTGACACCTCATGCTTCTAGGAAGAGAATCTTGACATATCGTGTTTCTAGTATTTCCTTGTCATGCTTCTTAGACTTGCCTTGTAATCAAATAGTCTTGCCAACTCATGCTTTTGACCTTTACAACTCATTACTAACTTGCTTAGTCATGCTTATTAGACTTGCTTAATCATCACATAGCTTGCCAACACACTTCTAACATTTACAACTCATCCCCTTAGGTTTGATTTCTCATGTTTTCCCTTGTAAGCTACTTGCCTTATAAATGTGATAGATTAATAAATGATATAGTTGCTTGACTCTTTTAAGAGTACTTAATTTACTTATAAAATATCGTATTTAAAGTTTAAACATTAAGATTTAGCAAATAATGAAACTAGGGTGTTACATATCATATGTTTTAGAGTGTAGGCATGAGAATGGGGCGAGGACCCCAATCCCTATCCCCGTCCCTGATCTTAATCTCCATCCCCATCCCACTAGAGAATATGATCACATCCTTGTCCCTATCCCCAACAGGGAATTGAGGATCCCCTTTGGTTAATGAGAGATATTTTAAATCAAATGTGTTAAATACCACACTTGATCAATAATGGTTCATATTTAAATCTCATATATTTTTAATTTTTTTTATGAAGTATCAAATATTCATATGTGAACAAAATCACAACATCATGTTTGACCAAATGCTTTCGGCTTTCGACATTTTTTATTTAAAAAAGGTAAGACAACTCATAAAAAATATATATAAAATTTAAGTCAAAATACTATTTCTAAATCTAAAAGATATTAAATCTAATTCTTTATAAATAAAAAAATTTAATAATATATATATATAATATTTAATATACGGGGATGGATCAGGGCGGGGACCATGTTCCCCTTCCCTATCCCCATCCCCATCCCCATCCCCATCCCCGTCCCCGATTTTTAACTTTCGGGAATCCTCATCCTCATCCTCGTCGGGACATGTACACCAGTTCCCCTATAGATCGGGTCTTATTCCCGTGCCTATTATTGTGTGTGCTTCGCACATGTTTTCGGTGAGTTTGGATATTGGTTATCAATCTAAAATGGGTATTTGAATTGGAAATGCGAGTTTTGTAAAGATATTCCTTTTACAACTTGTGTTTTAAATAATGGATCGATGTTTAAAAAAATATTCGTTTGAACCGTTTTATGTTTAGATGATAAAAACTCATTTAACTCACTAGGCGTTAAACCTAACACATTTTCTTATCATCATGTATTATCATATCTTAGTGGGCTCTGAGTGACATTTGGAACTTTATAGACGTTCTAGCAGGATGGCTTTAAAGGCGTCATTCGGGTTTTGAAGATAGCAGACTTGACGGTTTTAGTAATCCCATTTTATTCTARTTCCGTTAAAGATAAAATTGTCTTGTAACTCTGATGCATTTTTGTTCTCCTTCTTTTGTAAACCACATGCTTTTTGCTATTAAAGTTGTTTTAATGTGAAGGTATTTTGGAGTTTTAAACTGTTTGTTATTTTATAAATTCAGTGGTGTTAAATCAACCCTGCCCCGAAACAAGAAACGAAACAAACGAGATCATGCTCAAAATAGTAGCTTACACAACTTGTGTCGCTCAATGTGAGGGGACATTTTTTGGCTCACTTAGCAGCTAAAACCAGCGAAGGTTCAGGTTCATACCTTGAACCTATCTTGTATTTCAGTAAATTTATACCGTCCATTTACCAACAGAACTATACAATTAAAATAATCATTAAAGAGATAATATATCCAACATAAAAATGCCCAAAAATATAATAATCAAAGTCATCCATTTTACTTTTAGACGTGGAGGACCATTGACTGTTATGCCAAAACGTGAGGCTATCAAATTTTGATACTTAACCAGAATTTGTCAAACCATTTGATAATTTTGGATCTGTTTAATATTTAACGACAAATCGATAAATTCTATCGAAGAGTCTTTGGCCTAGTGGTATCGTAGCCTTTGGCCTTCTAGGAGGTCATGAGTTCAAACCTCACCATAGGTGAGRTGAGTGTGTGAGTTTATTTGTTGCATTTGCCGTATATAAATATTATATACTTAAAAAAAATCGATAAATTCTGTATTAATTTCAAACCGCAAACATTAGGTTGAATTGTTTAAATACATTTAACCTGACCAACTCAGCTCTAAATAAATACATTAAAATAAAATTTATAAATTAAAATATAATCAGATTTAGTTTTAAATAAGTATGAGAGTAACCAAAATTTCTAAAGTATCTTTACCCAAAAAAAAAAAAATTTCTAAAGTATAATAAATATAAAAATATTTAAAATTGTTAATTATATAGTTATCACGTGCATAAACCATCCAACATCAAGAACAACGGATAGGATTCCTTGACCTGTCCAATAAATATTAAATACGTTTGACAAGCTTCAATAAATAAAATAATCACCGGTATATATTTATTAATAAATATATAACGAATTATATATTAATTAATACTATTAAATTAATAACGATAAATTCGTTATCCGTTGTTAACAAATATTTCAATTTCCAAACACATATGACGAGGCTCGTTACATATGTGTTGCAAATATGTATTTATAATATATTACTTTGATTTTTTTCTTCTAAAATAAGTATTTTTATTTTTATTTAATTTATTTATTTAAAAAAAATATTTTTCGTTTCTATATTTGATATAGATAAATTAATTATTTCATTTATCATTAAATGTACAAAGATTATTTATTTTTATTAAAAATATAATAAGTATATTTTTCTAAAATTAAATATATATATATTTTTATTATAAACACTTGTTTCGGATCAAATAAATTATAATATGAATAATATTTTTATTTATTATATTTTCTAGAAAATTTGAAGGGTATCCCAAAGTCCATTAGTTATGAGTTGCACGTTACGTGTTAAATAAGTGTATTTTATGAATAATCAATAAAATATATTATGATTTTTTATTTAGTAAAAAGTAACATATTTAAATATAAAAACAGAACAAATTGCATAAAAAAGTAACATATTTTAATTTGATTCATATTTCAGGTAACGTTCTTTCAAAATTTTCATTTTGATATCTAAGATGTAAAATTTTAAACATTTAAATACTCGGATAACCGGTTGAAACATTAACCGATTACAATACTAATGTAACGAGTGATGTAAAGTTTGATTATTTCAGTTAATTTCCTTTGTAAAATTGAAAAAATATATAAAAATCGTTTTTATTAATTTTATTGTGAATGCTTTGGAGGGTGAGAAGACAAACCAAAGTATCAAATAAAAGGTAGAGAAGAAGAACACTTCATTTGTGCTTTCTTTTCAAACAGCTCCTATATTGTCTGGTAAACCCTTTGTGAGATTCTTCTTGTGATTCAGTGTTTCTGATCTCCGATAGAAAATGGTGAAGGATCGGAAGGTAGGTGTGGCCATGGATTTCTCCAACAGCAGCAAGGCAGCTTTGCAATGGGCAATCGATAATTTAGCTGATAAAGGTGATACGTTCTACATCATCCATGTCAAATCCCATTCCGGCGATGAATCTCGGGACAAACTCTGGTCTACCTCTGGCTCTCGTAAGTTCAGATCCATCAATTATTTCTTCTATTCTTTCGATTTTGTTTAGTAAAACTGTTGATTGATTTGGTATTGTGGTGCGATATCAGCTTTGATTCCATTGAGCGAGTTCCGTGAGCCGGAAGTGATGGCTAAGTACAACGTGAAAACGGATATTGTTGTTCTTGACATGCTTGATACAGGAGCTAGACAAAAAGAGGTTTTCACTTTGCTTCTTGTTCGATCATGACGTATTTGAAATTCAATTATTTTCATATTTCTGATTCAAACTTTTGATCCAGATTTATAGTTTTTTAGTTCGATATATACAAATTTTTATGTGAAACTTCTTTGATCGTATCCAGAACGATGCCAAATCTGATTAGTTGAATTGAAATCAATGGTTTTTGGTTACAAATTCGATTCCAGAATTTAAGTGTTGAATGATTAGTGGTTAATTTGTTTGATTAGATTCAAGTTGTGACCAAATTGTATTGGGGAGATGCAAGGGAGAAGCTGGTTGAAGGAATTGAAGATCTGAAGCTGGATACATTGGTCATGGGTAGCAGAGGACTCAGTTCTCTCCAGAGGTTTCTACCCTATTTTTTCTTTTTCTTAAATAACTGATTTGCAAGGCCTTTTGTTATTCTATTTATTCAACTTATTGGAAAATCTCATTTAATTGGTCTTAAGATCTTACTTTTTTAATATAAAAAAAAACCCCATGTGTACAAGAAGGGTTTTTCCCGATTCTGTAACAACTCATCCCACACTGATAGAAAGTTGAATTTGCGAGCTTCTGCTTAAAGTTGTGGGATATTGTAACAACTCGTCCCACATGGATAGAAAACTGAATTTGTGAGCTTCTTATAAATTCAAAGTTGTAGGGTGTCAATAGCTTCCGTCATGGTTTTAAGTTGATTTTAGGGTAGACGAATGCCTAGGGATGTTAAAGATTCCTATCAGCAGGTGTTACCTACGTGTGAGTTTTCCCATTGAGCGTGTTTCGTCCATTTTGACCTCTTGTCCTATTGTGTTTTCTAGATCATTTTATATTGTCGTCTAACTTATAGTTTAAATATGATTAGGAGTCTGTTTATTGGGATTTAGTTAATCTATTCGACCAACTCCTATAGTCGATAGCAACGGATACACCCTGTCCATTGCTAATTCCATCATAGGAGTTGGTCGAATAGATGTGAAGATTGACAAATTGTTTCCGTGAATCACTGAAAGGCTGAAACCATTCATTCACATGTATAATTTATAATAATCAACTATCAGTTATTTTAATATCATGCTTATCAGATCGTAGGATGATTACGATAGCTTAGAGGTTTTGTTTTTAAATCTCGACATTTACAAATATATATGTTTATGAAATTGCAGGATCATCTTAGGAAGCGTCACAAACTATTTGGTGACCAATGCACCTTGCCCCGTGACCATCGTCAAGGACAAACACTGATTCCCGTTAGGTACTATCAATAATGCGTGAAGTACCACTACTTCAAGCGACGTCTTGTTTCATCATTTTATTTATTTATGCTTTTTAAACCTCCTCTTTTATGTAATGTAACGTAACATATACCAAACAAAAACATAATTAATTATTGTTCAACTTGTTCTCAATTAATGTGTGTGAAATAATTAGTTAAAACCGATTGTTGTCTGTGTATGGTCCAGAGGTGGACCTAAGAATTTTTGTCTGAGTGGTGGCACCATTTAACTATAACAAAACGAAGCTATATATGTGTTTTTTTTCAAAAAATCATCATTGGTTTGTTGGTTAGTTTCTTAGTTTTTGTATGTGAGGTCTTGTGTTCGAGTCTTTTATTGTAATTTCTTTCAGAAACATAATAAACTTGAAATTAACAGCTAAAAACTAATAAAATGATTGARACATATTTGAACATGCACCTGGGATGGGAGAAAAGTCGTGCAAATGCTTACCTGGTTAAGCGCTTACCAAGTCACGTTGCCTTACGAGATGAATATGACAAATACCAAAAATCTTACCTGATAAGTGCTAAAGCAAATACCAAGAGTCTTGTTTGGTAACTGATGACAATGACTCTTACCATTGTTAGCATTTGCTGGGTAAATTGTTGCATATGATATCATTTTGATGGATTAAAATATTGTCCCATAAGTAAGTGATAATGTTGAATTTTACCAATAAACATTTACCTGAATAAAACATTTGGTAAATGATCCCTTATTATTATAGTTTTCAAATATATACGATTGCACCTTTCACGACTGTAATTTTTTTTTTAAGAATATCACTTTAACAAGTTGCGTAAGTGATACTTTCACGTCGTCATTTTACAAGTAGCACTCTAACCATTTACGACTGTATTACTTTATACCCCTTCAATATGTAATTTAATAAAATTATTTAAGCGAGTAATCAATTAATGTCACGAAGATTTTGTAATAATTGTCAATTGACAAATAAATAAGGTTAAACAGAAACTTTACTATAAAAACGTTGTATTTTTTTAACATCCTAAAAACGTTATATATTTGTATTTGGACGAAGAAAGTTGAACATAGAAATCACAAGGTTGTTCAGGTGGATATGGGGATCAGATATGGTGGTTGTGTCGTTCATCAATTAAATGTTATATCGTGAAGCATTTGTTGCGTACTGTTGCAGCTTACCAATAACGTATTTGATGTATTTCAAGATTCTGCAAGTCATCGTTTTATATTCTTCCCTATATCGTGTTCGCCTATCACATAATTGTATGTGGCTTTCGTTTAAGATGCGTTTCAAGATCTCCTTTCAATCGGGTCTTAAGTTTTTCATTTAACACGTGTTTGTGTTGGAAAATACGTCTTTAGTGAAGAAAAACACCTCAAAATAATTTCCGTCCACGCTTGTATCTCGGGCTTCAGACCTCAAACGCTATCTCCACCGATGAAAACAAATAACCACACTTCATGAACATGCTGCCCAAATCTCAATTAAATCCAACCGTAAACGAATCTATATATACTAGAAGGGTACTCGTGCAATGCAGCGAGATAAATCTTGATTTTAATGTTTCGTTTTGTATTTTGGTCATATCGATGTTATAGTGCGATTTTGAGAAAACCAATTTTTTTTTTTGTTTTTGAATGAAATATAAATTTGAAGATATTATAAAATTTTGAAAAAGAATAAGCAATATTAGTATCAAATTAACTATTTGAAATTTATCGTTTTTGTGTAATTTCTATACTTCAATTTTTTATTATAATTTAATTGAAGTTTAAAAACGAATTAATTTATTTTTGGTTTAATAAAATAATTTTTTAAGATAATAACTAAGTAATCTGTTAGAACTCAATAATTATTTTAATTATATTTAAAATGATATTTATCATGTATTTGATTATGTTTATCTATAGCTAGTTACACGAATTCAAATTTGAAGCTTTAATAAGATGTACTCATGTACATCATACTTGTAATCTTGAATTTTAAGTAATACGCATCAATAAACAATATTTTATGCATAAAAATTTGTTTTTAAGAGTTTTAGTTAAATGTTTTATAATTTAGTATATAGAGGAGCGATCAAATGAAAACCACCCTCATTTGTACAAACCGTACAAACCACCCTCATACGTCGATTTCATTGTTTAATCTTATGGAATTTTTTCATGAAATTGTTTAATCTTGTGAAATTATTTCATATAATATTTTTTTTGATGAATTTGTTTCATATATGGTTATGAAATTGTTTCATATAATATTTAATGAAATTTTAATGAAATTGTTTCATGTATTTCTCTAAAATTAAAATAATRAAGATGATAATATCCATGATTAACACCCTCCACAATAAAAATGGTTAATCTACCTCTCATAATTACAAAAAAAATGAACAAACTGAAAAATTATGATTAGTTGAATGAGGTTTGCACGGTTTGTACAAATTAAGTGGTTTTTATTTGAACGCTCACCATAGTATGTATATGTGTGTGTGTGTGTGTATATATATATATATATATAACGCATCGGGATGTAAAATATTATTTTAAAACGAGAACCCCTGTGATTTACGAGAATGCAAGAACAACCCAATAACCTCATATTGTGATAAAAAATAAAATTAAAAGATTTTTAAAATTAAAATTTAAATTTAAAAAGATTCAAAAAAATTTAAAATTAAAAGGGTAATAATGGAAATGATATCATCAAATCTTTTAAA